ACATTTGTGCAGATTGTTTACATTTGTGCAGAGAAGGCAATAAATAATAATAACATTCCTACAGCTGTTAGTTGAAACCATTTAAATGAAGCTACCAGCGAACACATAACAAAATAGAAGCGCTACTCGGAGCGCAGGAGCGTGGCAGTCTGACTAGCCGACGAAACGGACAAAGATGGCGGCGCTAGCCTAGTCCCGCCGTGTGCAACGCGCTGGTCGTCTGCTATGCTTCGAGTCAGTGTTGTTTACATAGGCTTTGTTTGAATGTAAAAATACTTTTGTATAAAAATTACTTAGGTTTTTCTGGAAGTACGTGGTCGTATTAGTATATTGTTGGAAATATCTTAAAGTAAATCGATTGTTTTTACTGTAGTAAATCGATTTTTTTTTATCGCGGGAGAAATTTTTGTTTACAAATATATATCTGTTTAAAAAGCATCTTTGTTCGCATTATAAATCTGTCATATTGGTGTTATTTCTTGTTTCACGACAAACACGATGGCATTTTGAACGACATTTTTAGCGTCTTATTAACGATGTTAGCATACGTTTAAAAAATAAACATCAGCATAAAAACTATTGTGAGTAAAAATTTTAAAATGCATGGAACTGTTAACAATAAACCTACCAATAAGCCATAACAATTTCAGAAAAATTGGCTGAGTGGTTTGTTTACAATTAAATTTTAAACTTCAGTGTTAGTGCAGAGTTTCTTAAAAATCGGTACTTTTTAGGATCTTTCAACTATATAAATTTTACTGGTAAACGGAAATTTTTTTAATTGTTACCACGTAAAATGTATTTAAAACAGCTATATTTAATTTTTGTCTCAACAAAATCGGATAATTCATCTCAAGAGATATTTAGGCTCAAACTCGAGTGCACATATTTATTTCCCCGACAGTAGTCCCGGCGTGTGCAGCGCGCTAGTCGTCTGCTATGCTTGATGAGAATAGTGTAGATATAAAGTTAATGATATTAGTGTAAAGGAAAACAATGTAATTGAGGACTAGACGAACAAAGTACTTGGACAATGTGTAGGTGTAAATTTGTTTCCAAATAGTAAACATTTCTCAGGGTATGAAAAAATATGGACAAAAATCATTTTTGTTTAGTACCTAATTAAAATTATTGCTCAAAAATATTCCAATGTTAGAGTTCGATACTACTGTAAAATAAGTAGCAAAAGTCTTCACAAAAATAAAATCAGGCAACATCTCAATAAAACTGTATTTTCCTGAGACAATAAATTGAGTGCAATTTTACAAATATATTTGGGAAGTTTAATTTAACTTACATTATTATTATCTTTAGTTTATCTTGGATGATACTGAAAGCTAATTAGTCCTTAAAAAGCTGTGCTAAACGGTTGAAAATTCTCCATAGACAATATATTTGAAAATTTCTTTAATGTATACAATATTACAGTACAACAGTATAAATAAAACATTAAAACACTGCACGCTAAATTTATAGACGACGGCCCGGCAGGGCAGCGGGCGTGGCGCGGATCAGCGGCAATGGACCCCTTTTGTACCTGATATTTTTAGAAAACCACGCACGATAAAAATTTTTGGTGAATCGGATAGTTAAATTTGGTTATTTATCCACAACTTTCCCGCTGACGAAATTACTCTGACCAAAAAATAAAAAATTTCCTCGCAATACAACTTTTTCATGTCTGAATGTGAAAAATTAAACTACATAAGTAATACAAATATTTATAAATCAATTACTATCATAGCTAATAATTTTATATTAACACCATCGTTTTCCTCAGTATCAGATCTACAAGTGTGCAAAATTTCAGAATTTTTGGTCAACTATTAATGTTGTTTATGATCGTGTATTTGTCGCGGGGTTTTTAATGCGAACTGTGCTCGCGGGTCTTGGATTCAGGCTGTATGACGGACCAAGATGGCGGATTTGGCCACACTTTCAGTGCATTTGGTTAAACGCCGTGTCCTCTCTATTATTATTATTATTATGTGCTCGCTGGAAGCTACAGACAATTCTTCATGAAACAGATGCTTCATATTGATCAATAAACTATTTCTTGCCATGGAGCCTGAATTACATTGAGAAAAATTCATTTTGTTTTGGTTACTATAAAAAATGTATTTTAACGTATTGAATATTCTGACTTACAAAAACATATATGTTTCAGTGAATAGCTGTATGATATTGACAAGTAATTAAGGTGTATTGTGAAAACCAAAGCATTCGTAAAACAGGTCTAAATATAATTCAAATGCAATTATCACTTACATGACCTAAGAAGTGTGACAGTGCATAATCGTCAATTGTCTCAAAAGTGTTAAATATTTTAATTACTAAACATGCATTTGCAGATGTGGAATGTTTATTGATATTCTCTACCCAGTTACTATATCATATCAATACTATTACACCTGCTTCGGAAAGTCATAGAGGAAGATGATTTGCAATTTCGACTAGGCTATATCTTGATCAAACAAAACCACCTACATGGCTTGCACCACTTTTAGCTGAACCAATCTTTCATATACATATTTCATTTGCAGATGTGGAATGTTTAATTATATTCTCTACCCAGTTACTATAACATATCAATACTATTATGCCTGCTTCGGAAAGTCCTAGAGGAAGATGATTTGCAATTTCGACTAGGCTATATCTTGAGCAAACAAAACCCCCTACATGACTTACACCACTTATAGCTGAACCAATCTTTCATATAATATTTTCCAAAGGTACGAAAGGTAGTATGGTGTTAACGACCAATTTTCCACTTTTGAGAGATTTTTTAGTTCTGGTAGCTGAGGAATAACTTTCATATTGTTCCAAAAGGCTTGAGACGTTACTGTATTACTTTTTATAATGTAGAAGTACACCGATTGCAGGAAACGATGATGTCTGACATTTCAATGTATCTAGAAAAGACAATTAGTTTTTCATTAGGCCTAATGTAATGGACAACTCTTTCTTTCTTAAGGAATATCTAAAGATGTTTATTTCTATACCCATTGATTATGTAACCTGAACAGGTGACTCAAGCAGTTTTAAAATAATGATTGTTCCGTGGAACTTTTGATTGTTTCAAACAGTTTTGCTTATCAAAAATTCTCAAGTAATTAATATATAGAAAATTATACAGTCACTAAAAATCATGAAATAATTTATTTTTGTAAAAATATACAACCGACTTCAAACGCTCTAAAAAGAATGAAATAATTTCAATAAAGTAAACTTTTGTATTAGGCAAGCTTACGTATTTCAAGTCGGCGCGGCTCAAACTGCAAATATGATTGAAATTAAATATTGTGTGTGTATTTTGAAAATCAATAAATTGTAGCTGGATAACATAAATATATAAAAAATATACTGAACTGTTTTGTTTATATATTAAACGAAATATTTTCTTGTATTTTATGTTTACTTCAGAATAAATGCATTATGAAAATAACACACACAAATGTTCTATATGAATAGGAAAATAATTTAGTTTGATATTATGATAGGGAAAAGGAGCTAATTTAGTATTAAAACGTTACTTTTCCAAGTTAGAAACATTTAAATGAGTTATATTCTTTTTAAAGATACTCGTTAATACCACTATAATGCCGATCTCTGATTACGTTAATAAAATAACACTTAACGCATAACTATGAAAAAGACATGCAGATTAACACCTTTAGCTATAGATAGTCACCTGCAATATGGACACCCTCTTTCAATTTTGTATCAAAAATCATCATGGAGCTGCGCCGACTTAAAATACGTTAGCTTGCCTAATACAAAAGTTTACTTTATTGAAATTATTTCATTCTTTTTAGAGCGTTTGAAGTCGGTTGTATATTTTTACAAAAATAAATTATATCATCACATTAATTTATCATGGCTATCCTACTTTAATATGAGCAATGTTTGCTTGAATGTTTACTTGCACATTGCAATTAAAGAATAGTTTCCAACACCTATTGACATCTTGGAAATAGGCCTAACTATTTTTGGGGTAAAAAACAATGAAACAGGTCTAAGCAAAAAAATAAAAACAGTAATCTTTATTATATATGTACAGTAATTACAATGATAGGGTCTATAACGATTGGTTACTTATTGTCTGTAACTATGAGGTCGGGTATCCCTATTGACCCTATTGAAGGTTACTAAAGGATTATTTAAGTACCTAACCTATTTTTCTTTGTTTTGAACATTATTTGTTTCTTTTTTTCTAAAAAAGCACTGTTGAAATATTCAGTGAATGTGTCTCTTACTTTGAATCCTTCACTTTTCACAAATCCACCGTTCCAAGCCAGGGGGATCATATTTTCTGCTGGCATTTCGATGTCTGGATATTCCAATGGACCCGGGGGAGGACTGTTAGACAGAAACTCAACTCGTAACAGGTTATGAAGGCAACAGGAAACAAAAATTACCAAGTCTACTGTTTCCGGCTTCAAATTTGTAGGTGTGAAAATATTCTGAATACAACGGATAGAAGGCCAAAAGCATTTTCTGTGACTCTGCGAGCTCTGCTCAGAGCGAAGTTGTAGTTCCTTTTTCTGATGTCAACAGCAGCTTGTTTTTGGGGGTACGGCTTTAAAAACATGTGTGTCCAAACGAAAAGCTTCGTCCCCAATAATAACATGTGGTAGCTTCAAATCAGAAGAGGGCAAAAGTCTTGGTGGGGGAAATATTTCTTCTTGTTCGACCACCTTCCCGAGGCTTGATTTCGAAAATATTCCCGCATCACCCTCTTTACCATAAGAACCAACATCGATCAAAGTAAATTTGCAGTTGGCGTCTACCAATGCAAAAAGAACAATTGAAAAATATCCTTTGAAGTTGTAGAAAAGGCTTCCAGAGTTGTCTGGAGATATTATCCTGACGTGCTTCCCGTCAACTGCCCCAACACAGTTGGGGAAGTCCCATCGAGTCCATAACTGATCTGCCTTCTCATTCCAGTCTATCTGAGATGGACCGGGCAAAACTTTTCCTTCTAGTCCACGTTTTAGTGATTTTAGAACGTCTGGTAAAAATTTTGATATTGTGCTATGATCGATTCTGAATGAAAAAGCCAACGAACGAAGAGATTCGCCAGTTGCCAGCAACCTGAAAATAAAATGAGTATGCATAATCACTTAACGTTTTATCGAGTTAATGTTATGTATTGACTATACATGGAACATTTCCTTATTTCAGGGACCTCCTGTAAAAATAGGTGGAGAAATATTCGTGACTACTACAAAAAAAGTCGAAGGGACGATCTAACATCGACGGGAAAGCCTGCAAAGAAAAAGAAGGCTAATTACTGGGATATGTTGAGCTTCCTTGACGACACGGAAAATGAGCGAGTGTAAGTGTCAAGTACTTAATCTTAAAACACATCTATTTCTGTGAATGGGTCCTTGTCCTTGAAATGGGTACATCAGGGACCCCCTCAAAAAAATAACACTCATACTGTTCAGAAATCCAGACACCATTCCCATCCACACCATCACTCCCCTACCCATAAACCCAAACTCCATTAGAAAATAAATCATGTATATTTATAACTAAATTCGATTTTACGACAAATATCATTGTAAATATATGGTTTGTTTATACAGGGTTAGTAAAAAGTGTGGAGGCCCCCTGTTATTTTTTAACGGCCCATACTAGAAAAACTAAACTCGGCACACCTTGATGACATGTTATGAAGTACTTTTTGGGCATAACCGTCACTTGGTGTACATCCCCAAAATGGGGGATTTTGGGGGAAACTCAAAATTTTCAAACACAAAGACCCATCGAGTGACCCCTCATTTTGAAGGGCCTTGTAAAAGAAAACCAACAACGCAAATTAGAGGTCTTTATCTCAATCCAGTAAAAAATGGCAGCCAATTGAAATTCTCAGAAGTTAAATTTAACTTACAGCTTTCCAAGTCTGGAGACTCGCAGTAAATTTTGTAGCTAAAATGTTTAATATTATTGAGTTTTAAAACAAATTAAGTTAAAAAGATTTTACTCGTAGGTAATATGAATATGTAATGGATCACAATAATACACTGATGTTATGTTTTTTTTCAGTGTTCTTACGAATGCCCATGCTAACGAGGTTTCTGACGATTCACTCGCTGAAGATGTTTCTCAACTCGCGGCACCAAATGTTGAGGATATTCATGATTTACAGGCTACGTGTTCAGCTACAAATACAGCAATGGATACGGTTACCCAAAATAAGGAAAAGGCGGTTCCAAACAAGAAGAAGGTTACTACCCAAGATGCTGTACTCAAAGCTCTGAAAGAAAGAAAGGAAGAAAGAGAGCTCTTGATGAAGACTGTTGAGACAGCTTTTCAACCAGTGGTTGAAAAAGAAGATGAGATTGACCATTTTTTTAAGTCAATTGCACTTACTGTAAAAAAATTCAGTCCAGCTGAAAAGGTTGAGACAAAAATGAAAGTTATGGAAGTAGTTACTGCCATTGAATTGCGTCGCTTCTCAAACACTAACAATCAAGTTGTTAACCCTAATTATAATAAGCCTTATACAAATCAGCGGTCTGGAAGCAGTCTGTCGACATCCTCAATCATCGGTTCGGCAATGCAGTGTTTATCACCAGACGATAAGAATGAAGATGTGAGAGAATACCACCAACAACAAAACTATTAGCACAGGTTATCATCAGACCATCTACAAACCCCATTAGTTTCCTAACATTATGTAAATAACCTTATTCTTTTTGGGGCTTGCATTTTTTATTCATGTATCAATAAAACTACAATTTAAGTTCAAATTGTTATTTTAATAATGTTTACCTTTATTACCATGCTCATAAAAATTAGTAAGGTGATTTTTAAGAACTTCAAACAAACAAACACAAGTTTCACATTTAAGAATTAAGATTAAGATTAAAATTAAGATTTATCAAATATGATTTAAAACCAGTTTCTCATAAAACTAATTTATAATCTCTCTCTCTCTCTCTCTCTCTCTCTCTATGTCATTCCAAATTATTTTGAAGCGAACATAATATAAAACTATTCGAGGTAGGTCAAAATACATTGAAATAAAATTACAGTATTCCTTAAGCCAAACGGCTCCTGTTTTTAAATTTGTTGACTGTCAAACAATTAAGTAAATTTCTTTCATATACTGTAATAATAAAAAATCTCTTGCTCACACACATCTAATAAAACTAAAAAAAACTTGTTTATATTTTAGTTTATCAGTTATTGTGTCTCCATGCCATGATTTTAATGTTTTGCAGATATTCTCCAACAAGGAGCCTCACAGTTTGAACAAGCGGCTGGGAGGTTAAAGCGAAAGATGTGGTGGAAAAATGTTAAGGTAAATTTATAAAAAGGTGATTAAGCAATAATTTTAATAGCATATTATTGGTTGGCTTGCCGCCCTGGCTCCGTTCAAACAGCATCAAACCTTACTGTATGAAGTGTCAGCTGCTTAGAGTTTTTGCACTTCTCTATAAACTTAACCCCTGCAAGCCTGTGTGTTTGTGTTCTGCAAGCCTGTGGATTTGAAAATCCCCATGATTAGAGCTTTTCAAGACATTACCTGTGTCTTGGTGTGCCCTAGTGATGATCGCTTGCATTGCTGTTGTCTTGAGGATGCCACATTATGGTTCCATGCAGGTCCTGCAAATTTCACAGATCACTCCTTGTTGGCCAAATGATCTCCCTTTTCGTTACCATGTCTGAACACCCAACTGAGTCGAGCTCCCCTAACCTGCTAGTTTCTACTACTTACTAATTTGTTCAAGATTGGTTGTATTTCTAAACCAACCTTCACCAAAACTCCTATGAGCTTAGTGCTTTGATATCGGAGAAGATCCATTTTCATGGCCCTGTAGCCAATTCTCACGATTTCCCACATTTTATTCCGTAATAACAATTGCTTCCAACTGGAGAGATATTTAGCAAGACAGATTCTGATATTTTAATTTCTCCCTGCCCCGGTTCCATTGGTTGATTTGAGCTGTCTGTAAACCATTCCGCTTGCTTTGTGGCTAAACCATTCATCACGTAGTGGAATCATTACTATTCCAATACGGTAGTTAATTTTTACCCTTGAATTTGTACAGATGTTTTTGTCATTGCCTTTTTTTAAATTATATGTTATTAATTGCTTGAGAGACAGTGAATGACTCGTATATATGCATGCTACTGATTCAAACCAACAAAACTTTATAGTATATGAGTAACAATACTTTTAGTGCAAACCATTTGTGGTTTATGGACTTTTTATAATTTTGTTATCGTTAATTAAATCATTTTCTCGATTGATTACGGTGAAAGACTTTGAAAAGGCATGGCAAATCTTCATCAGATCGGAGTCCATCTCTAAGAGAGCTTCACTCAATGGTGTGCCTTACACAGCAAGGCATTGTTTCAACATTAGCTGTCTCCGTCACTCACATTTCTCTGTTTATCATGTCAGTAATCATTGTGGCTGTTGGGAATCATTTTAGTTACATTGCTGCCATAGGCGTAATTAGGATGACCCTAAGGGAGGGGTTATGCAGGGGAGTCTGGGGCCCTCCACTGGAAAATGATTAACTGTTGCTTACTAGGTAGGTATCACCACTCTCCAGACATTACAACAATATAAAAAAAAGTTCTGTGGCTTCCTGATAATGTTTTTCAAGGTGTCAAGGTGTTTTCTACTACTATTCTCCCTCTTTCACCCCTGTACGACAATTGATTTGGTCAAAGTAGCCAAAACAATATGAGGTAAATCTACACTTCCACTAAGTATGAAGTTTGCGTTTAGGTTTGTTGGAAGGGTTCAATCCCTGTTGATTACTGTTTCCAGTTGACAGACAGGTGTGTATGCAGAATGTGAAAAATGTGCATACGTGGCTTAGGAAAGCTGCAGAAGGCCGTACACATTCGATTAGGTGTTCATCAGTTTCCATCGAGACAGTAATTGAATTTGAGTATACTTTGCTTGGTGATCAGAATGTTTAAGACATGGTTTACAGTAGTTCTTGATGAAGTAGTCATATAGAGAGGGACGGAGAGAAATGTCCCTATTCATTGTAGATGTTAGCCTGATTGCCATATAATATCAAAAAATGTTTGCTATCCTTCTTACCTTGTGCGTATGTCCAAACATTTTACTCCATTTCAACTGAAACCACTTCATTCCACCCGCAAAACGTGATTTATGCTTGACATCAATTTTTTCTCACAATGTTTCCAAATGTGAAGAGACTAATCGTCCCATTGAGATGGGAACCAACTAGAGTAGTAGTGGCTGGAGTTACAAATACAATTTTGGTCTAGGATTTGAACTACCTATCTTGTTTGTGACTGGAGTTAGATGGAGACCTTAGCCCTCATATAAAGTTTTGGTTGACTGTATACAAAACCTTAGAATTTCAGAGGTGGCCAGACTACTGTGGTGTTTTTTGAGAGAGCAGGACATTTGCTTCTCAAAATACTTTGGAGGTTTGTATAGGTTCAGAGGCTTGTTGCCTGAGGCTGCAAAACTTCAGCTTGTGCAGTCACTAATACTGTCAGTATTTTACTACTACTTCCCTGCATATGACAACAGCATTTCTCGGGAAGACATTAATCGGTTGCATCGTCTGCAAAACTCCACAATCCGTTTCATTTTCTTTTTGGAAAAATTTGATCATGTCTCTCCCTTTTGAGAAGTAGCTAGTCTGCTTCCCGTTGAAGCCATGTTTAAGTTGTTAACGTGCTGCATGACCCACAGAGTGTTGTCTCTTTGTAAGCCCTACTATTTACGCGAAAGGGGTTCTCTTCGCAATGAGGTTTCCCTGCGCAGGACACGTCATGGTGGGAGGCTTCACCTCCCAAGAGTTTCTTTAGAGCTTGGGAGGAAGAGCTTCTCATATTTTGGTCCCTCTTTGTACAATGGTCTGCCCGACGGCAATACATTTAAAGAAAAACCTGAAGATGTGTTTTATAAAAATTTTAATTATCCAAGTGTATAACGGCCAAATAGTAGAATAAGATATTTAGCATAGTGACGAAAGTTGTTCTGAAAAGCTGGTGTACCAGAGAAACGCTTAATAAAGACATTTTTATTTATTTATTTATTTACTTTGTCAACAACTTGTTTACTCCACATTGCATGTAACAGTACAAGGTTTGCCTGTAAAAGAAGCTAAATAAATCATGATCATTAACATGGCTCTTGCTGGGGCCAAAGCCCCTCGTTCCAACCGCCACCCCTGGCTTAAGTCTGGGACTTATTTGCTTGGCCGCTTTCCGTGAAAAATCTTCTTTCATATTGGGCTTCGGCCACTTTCAATCCTCTTCCAGACATATTCTTTGTCCCAAAATCGTAACAGCACGACTCCCCTCCCCCTACTACCCTGAGCAGTAGAGATAATTTGGATTCCCTCTACCCTTTTTTCTACCCCTCATCGGGAAGTTTTCTTTCCTTTTATTGTTTTTTTTTCAATTTAATAGCCTGTATGTGTCCCTGCCTCTTACAATTTCCTTAGATACTTTCCTAAACGTCTCAATTACATCCTTGTCCCTCATCAAGTTTTCTTTTCTCATCTCTAAACCTTTCCTATACAAAACTTCTACCAGTTCTCTCTTATTTGCTTTCTCTCTTATATAAGTACACAATTCAAGAAATTGTGACTCTTGGTCTCTATTTCTCCGAATCTACATACTTCCTCATCCACCAGGTTAAATCTCCTGCAAATTCGCCTTGAAATTTCCATGTCCTGTGCGTCCAATAATGGTCTATCTCCCAATCTTGTTCAAGTCTCCTTCTGATGTTTGGCATATATCTGAAAGTTTTCCTTCCTTTCTCATTCTGCTCCCAGTGCATTTGCCTTTCATTCAATGTCTCCTCTCTTCTGGCACTCTTGCTTTCCGATGTAGTCCTACCCGCCTCTTTGTCTTCCAAAATCCTAATTTCAATGAGCAGGTCGTGTGGTATGGCTCCGGTCAAAACCCTGATCGCATCATGCGATATTGTGTGTTGTATGCTTTCCCTACTTTTAACAAAAACCTTCTTTGCATACTCTAAAGTTTCCCTTTCAATCCCGTGTACTCTTTCCTCTCAAGCAACAGTGCGTCATCGGAGTATGTGGTTATCATGATCCCTTTCTCTAGAGGTAATCTCAAAAGGCTGTCGAACATCACGTTCCATAATAGTAAGCTAATACTTGTTTAATTGTGTTATTTAATGATGTATTTTTGCTTTTAGATGATGATCATAATGGGAGTAATTGGAGCAACTCTCTTGATACTCATTTTTGGTGAGTAAAATTCAGTAAACAGACAAATTAAAAAAATTAGCCTATGACAATAAGTTAAGTGAGTTAAGTTACATTTCAGCATGAGTGTAAAGAGACCGATTTGGTTGAGGTATTGACTCAAGTCACAGAAAACATACTACTATAACCCAGAATGCCAACAGCATGGTAAAAAGCGTTAAGTACTTTGAGAGAGCTTTGCCTGTCAATTCGTAGGCAGCGCCACCAGCGTTGCTATGCTGAGTGCAACACATTGGATTGATGATTTTGCCTTCGTTCATGAAGATTTGAAGGTAAGCAACATGGCAAATATCCCCAACGTTTGCGAGGACATAGATAGCCTTGCTGATGTTAGCAAAATCATAGTTAGAATCTTCAATAATCTCTGTGTTGCTAACATTGCTGACAGCACATTGATATTGCTAATTTCTGTGATTTTACTAGCTTCTTCTACATTTGCGATAACAGTGTGAGATTTTCTGACGTTTAGGACGACATCCCTAGCTTACA